GAATCCTTAAGTTGTGTTTGGTGAACAATTGATAATAGTTGACCGTTTAGGGATTGGTCCTCGAATCAAGTTTTGACTCAGGCCCGTTGACCCTTAGGTTTTCATCATATTGGCCCTTAGGCTCTTTGGGCTGGCCCTTAAGCTCTTACGCATTGTCCCTTAGGCTCTTTAGCATTGTCCCTTAGGCTCTTTTTAGATTGGGTCGATGAGACCTCTAATATGGCTATTATTTTCCCTCATTTTGGCTAAAGACTTTTGAAATTTTGATAATGCCTTGGCATGTTTTATGTTCGCCCGACTCTTCGACGGCTCAAACAAGAACCTCGACTATGAGTCGATATATGACGATAGCTGAGTACCTCGGGAGGCTCGCTCGAAGGTTGAGTTTTTGAAACCTTTTCATCGAAGGCTGATTGTTTTCGAAGCCTTTTAATTGTTCGGATCTGATATTATCGAGGTCCTTTGCTTATGCCGAGGGTAGCCTGATTAACCGGTTTTTTTCGAAGTATTTGGAGGCCTTTAGTTTTTGGTGGCAGTCGAACGTCTCCGAGCCGCGTTAATTCGGCTGTAGCCTTTTAGTTCGACCGTAGTCTTTGTGTTTGGCTGTAGCCTTTAGTCCCCGTGTGCGGTGACCTCGGCGTCTATATCGAGGGTATGCCTTTTTAGGGGTCTTACAAGTTCGAATATATAGCCTTGGCCTTAATATCTGGGGTTATGCCTTTTTTAAGGTCTTATAAATTTGAGCACGCCTTGTTAAAGGACTTACATATTTGATGTTGCCTCAGTGAGGGCTTATGAGCTCGAAGTTGCCTGATCAAGGTCTTACGAATTCGAGTTTTTTTATGGCTCGATGAGCTGACTGTCGAAGACAGTCCCCGAGCGTTCGAGAGTTTTTGGCTCTTGGGCCGTTTTGCGCGACAGTAGTGAGTTTCTTCGAGGCACAAAGTGTTGATAAGCAAAGAGGCTTCCTCAATTACTTGATATATGCGTACATGTTTTTTTTGCCTTTGGAGGTTCGATTATTCTACATGGACACGGTTCGTTTGACCGTTTGGCCCAATACAACGTTTTCCTATAGAGGTCCACCTAGGCATAGTTCGATTTCTTCCGAGAGGTGATCTCCTGGGGTGATGCCCCCCCAGTATTTGAGGTTGATCGAAGAGAAGCCTTGAATACTTGATGAGTTCTCCTTAGTTAGCATATGGATGTTGCCTCGTTAAAACCTCCCCGATAAAACCCGTTCGGGATAAAACCCGATCTAAGGGAAAGGAGTGCAACACATGCTTTAAAACCCAAGGTCTTCGAGCTGGAGAGTCCTTTGATTCCTTTCAATTGAATACCTGCAATAGGTTAGTATAAAACATAAATGAAAAGGGAGAGGGTTGTACCTCAGCAATGATAGCGTTTGAGCCTCGATGTGTTTCAGTTGCTTCGATGCGTTTCAATTGCTTGTTGCGAGGGCGCGACACGACCTTTTATTCACTCATTGGGGTGCAGCCGAGAATGTCAGTTGCGGTTGCTGCTTGGCTGTTTGTTTTTCTAAATGCTCTTTCGAGGTGGAGGGCGTCGATACTAGTACCATGTCGTGCACCACGAACATCTCCCTCGTTGCATGTTGCTCCCCGTACACTGTTTTTACTCCATCCTTGCTTGGAAATTTCATCATTTGATGAAGGGTGGATGGCACTGCCCTCATACTATGTATCCATGGCCTTCCAAGTAAGGCATTGTATCTCATGTCACCTTCGATGACATGAAATTTGGTATCTTGGATTGTACCGGCCATGTTGACCGGGAGGATGATCTCCCCTTTCGCCGTCTCGCTCCCCATGTTGAGTCCATTGAGGACCCGAGAGGCGGATACGATCTGGTCGAGCAGTCCTAGCTGCTCTACCACCCTCGACCTGATTATATTGGCCGAGCTACCTGGATCCACGAGCACACATATAATTTGAAATTTATTCAAAATAAAAGAAATTACCAGTGCGTCACTATGAGGCTGAGACAAGGTCTCGATGTCCTCTTCGCTGAATGTGAGAGCATCCTCTGGTATGTAACTCCGAGTTCGCTTTTCCCTGGTGATGGATATTTCCGTTCGTCTGACAACGGGTCCCTGTAGGGCATCAGCCCCTCCAATGATCATGTGGATGCCATGCCGTGGTTCTTCTGGGTCGTTCTTCCTCTTCGCCACTCTTTCCCCAAAATGGTTTTAGCTCGGTCGCTGAGGAACTCTCGAAGATGCCCTTCGCTGATCAGACGAGCTACCTCTTCTCGAAGCTGTATGCAGTCCTCGGTCCTATGACCGTGAGTGCCGTGATATTTGCATATCAAGTTAGGGTTCCTTTGTGAAGGGTCTGATAGTATGGGTTTTGGTCACCTGGTATCTTTGATTCTGCCTATGGCTGATACGATGCCCGAGACATCGACGTTAAAATTATACTCGGATAGCCGGGGTGCCTCTACTGGCCTAGTGTGCCTGTCGAACCCGACTTTACTCATGAGTCCCCGGGAATTTTGACCCCGATTTGTCCTTCGATCGCCTCGAGGCGCATTACGCTTTGGGGCATTCCTTCGATCTTCTACGTAAGGCCGGTATCTTTCCTTGTTTGGTCTCGACTCCCTTTCCGTAAACCTTTGTTTCTTTGTTAAGAGCCTGCTAGAATATACCATGCCCGAAGGGGATCCTAATTGGTCATCTTAGACCCTGATCTTCGATTGATACCTGTTGTGCACATCCGCCCAAGTTACGGCGGGATATTCGATCAAATTTTGTTTTAGTTGCTTCGAAGCTACCGAGCTTTGTTCGTTCAAGCCCTGAGTGAAGGCTTGCACTGCCCAGTCATTGGAGACCGGTGGTAATTCTATTCGATCTATCTGAAATCGAGATACAAATTCCCTTAGCATCTCGTTTTCTCTCTGCTTGATTTTGAAGACATTGGACTTCCTAGTGGCGACCTTGATGGCACCGACGTGTGCCCTCATAAAAGACTCAGCCAACATGGCAAATGAATCTATCGAGTTTGGGGGTAGGTTGTGGTACCACATCATGGCCCCCTTCGACAGCGTCTCTCTACATTTTTTCAACAAGACAGATTCAACCTCCTCATCCTTTAATTCATTCCCTTTTACAGCACAAGTTTAAGCGGTAACATGCTCATTGGGGTCCGTGGTCCCGTTATACTTCGGGACATCAGGCATTCTGAATTTCTTCGGGATGGGCTTCGGAGCCGCGCTTGGTGGGAATGGTTTCTGTATGAACTTCTGTGAGTCTATGCCCTTCAGGATCGGAGGTGCGCCCGTGATCTGATCGACCCTCGAGTTATAAGTCTCCACCTTTTTATCGTTATCCTCTATCTTCTTTTCTCCTGATTCAATCCTTTTGGTGAGGTCCTCGAGCATCTTAATAATAGCGGGGTTTGTTGCTGACCCGTTGTTACTCGATCTCTCCGGTGCCTGCTCGATTCGAGGAGCCGTTTCCGGTGCTGCTGTGTTTGGAGTTTTTTGGTGACTTTGTAGCTGAGCGATAGCCACTTGTTGTGCTGGCAACATTTCAAAAATGACTTGAAGACTAACGTCTCTTTCCTCACCGCGCACACTTCCGTCGGTAGGAGAGCTTACATCGACATGCACAGCGTTCTGTGAGCTCACGTCGATGGGGATTTGTGCTGGTGCCTCCCCTGGGTTTTGCGGTGGTACACCAGCATCTGCTGGTGCTACCCCTGGGTTTTGCGGTGGTACACCGGCATCCGCTGGTGCTACCCCTAGGTTTTGCGGTGGTACACCAGCGTCTGCACCGTTTTCTTCCTGAAGCCCGATGCCGTTGTTTTCGCGTGCATTTGCTGAGTTAGACATTTTGATCTGAAATCAGAGATTCTTGGACAAGAAAAAGTGTGAAGAATAACTTGTGTTTTCAGAAAACTAGCACCAAACAATCACTATTATTTTTAGCCCCACGGTGGGCGCCAAACTGTTAAGCTTGAAAATGGTAATGACAATTATATTTGATTTTGTGGTTCTAAAAATACGTGATTTATTTTAATACTAGTTGTTAGGCAATAGATGCTAAGTGTAAGTAAAGAGAATAAGAAATGCAAACCAAAGCTATCACGGAACCGAGCCTCGAGTTCGCTGGAACAGAGGTTTCGAGACCTATCTAGGGCAGTTGGTAATGAGCTATTGATGAAGAGATAATGATAATGAAGGCCTCAAAGATGGCCTTTTGCGGTTAATAATGAGCAATAAATGAAGAACAATAAATGAACAATGCATGAACAATGAAAGAATAAGCAATAAATGTGAAGAACAATTGTGTTAGCAAAGAGCAGAGAATGTTGTATTGTATTCAATATGTTCAATAATAATCCGAATCCTTTTACAAGATGACAACGCTCCCCTTTATATAGGGAGGGGGGGGGGGGGGGAGGATCCCAACATAGTACATGTCTAATAATGACGGGAAAGGCTATTGGTATAACTGTATAATGGCTTAGTACGGATTGGTACTATTCTTGCAGACCTGGTTAGCTCTAACCACGTGTTCTTGGGAGCTTTCCCGCCCTTCCATGACGATCATCGATTTGTACTGCTCCGAAATTGACCTTCGATGTGCTCCCTCGAGGGACGCACCTCGGGGTCATACTTCAAATTCTACTTCGAGCCCCTCGAGGTTGGGCATGGAGTGCTACAATAATCCCAAAGTCCAACTCTTCCGATTTTGACCGTATAGAGGTTATGAGATAGGGGTGCTCTTTAGGTGTAATGGATTGTGTGTTATAGTAATCATTTACAGTTTATTACCAAAAAAAAAAGTATTAAAAAGGGTAACTGATGTAAGTTCTAATCGACTGGAATATGCTTGTATTTATTTACTAATCCTACGTATTTATTTTTTGGCTGCTGGCTTGGATTAAGAGTTAGAGACCCGGTGTAGCGAGAGTAGTCCTCACGCAATCACGCTTCAAAATTAGAGACAAAACAAGCATAAACATTAAAAGAGAGGCGGCTCGGGCCGGGCCGGGCTGGGCTGATCTGGGAATAGTATTTGGTGCGAGAAAATCAGAAAAAATGGCGGCGAAACAAAGAACAAAGCAGACTGAAGAAGACAAGAAGCAGCAACGAAATGGAAGGCGAAGATCGGGAAGGAGGAGCAGAGAAGAAGAAGAGCTTTGTGATACAGATACCTTCTTACGAAGAAGTAATGGAGAGTTCTCAGCCCAAAACGACGCCGTCTTCTCTCTTCAACCCTACCCCTTCTTTCACTCAAGCCTTCAAATTCGTCAAAAGCTCCGAATTCTACTCGCCTCCCCCACCTCCTCCTCCGACTCAGCCTTCTTCTTCATCCCCTTCCCCCTCCCAAACCGCCAATCTCAGGTCAATTTTGTCATTCCACATGCAATATCTCTGTTGTCTCTGTCTGTATACATCGTACATTTGAAATTCTGATTGTTTTATGGTTTCTATTTAATTTGATACATTTTTGTGGACTTTAGACCAACTAATAATTCAGATGTTCCGACATCTTCATCACCATCGTCCACGCCCTCAACTTCAGCTAATCGAAATGCTATACTTGTGAGCCATAGACAGGTAAGATTTAATTTGCTTTCATATACTCTTCAACATTGCATCTGGATAAATTTGAGGTCTTTCTCAAAATTTTAAATTTAGCCTTTGTCCACTTTCACGGGAGCATGTAAGTCTGTTCTTTCTATTGGAATGCAGAAGGGCAATCCCTTGCTAAAACATATCAGGAATGTGAGGTGGGCTTTTGCAGATATTGTTTGTGACTACTTATTGGGACAGAACACTTGTGCTCTTTATTTAAGGTATGTAAGTGCTCCCAATTTCAGTCCCTTTTTTCATGCAATCTATTGGAATTTGGAAGAATAATAGAAAATTCTGATAATAGGCGCCTGTATTTGAATTATTTTAATGATTGGTTGTTAAGCTTGACTTGGCAGATGATGTTGTGGAAATATACATGTTAGTATGCTTCTTGACATCTGTACTTCTATTTGACATTGTGCCCTTCTCTTCTCCTCCCCCTTTTCGGGTAGCCTCCGGTATCATCTGCTTCATCCAGACTACTTGTATTTCCGGATAAGGGAATTGCAGAAGAACTTTAGGCTCCGCATAGTTTTGTGCCATGTTGATGTTGTAAGACCTTCAATACTTTTGACTTCTTTGTGTTTTTGCATTGCGATGCTTGTACAACAGCCTGACTCATGCTCGTGGTTATCTTTGGGTCCAGGAAGATGTGGTCAAGCCTTTACTTGAAGTTACCAGAACTTCACTCCTTCATGATTGCACGCTGTTATGTGGTTGGAGGTACGTCTTATGTTCAGCTAAATTAATTTCACAAAGTGGTATGCTAACTTAGAAACATCTTGGAATTCCTCCAAGATGCTTCTGATTTCTTCAATGTCATGACTCATGACTGCACATCATCACGCCTTTCCCTGTACCACACAAGGATCATTTGAGAAATATCTTATTCCTCGGGCGACTATTTGTTATTGTTTCTGTTGTAAATTTGTGTAAGGCAGTTTTTGCAATCACCCTAAGTTGCTCTAAGTTTTCTCTTAGTTTGGAAGAATGCGGACGCTACTTGGAGACGGTAAAGGTTTACGAAAACAAGCCCGCCGATCTCATTCAGGGCCAACTGGATGCGGACTACCTATCACGGGTATGTTTCCTGATTGATTACAGTTTATGATATATGTAATACTTTCTGATTTCAGTGAACCGGATTAATTTTTCCTAATCAGGAACTTATCTGAAAAGAAAATAATCGTGAATGGATTTTTTGCTCAAAGCTCTCTGGTAATGAGCATTGAGCACACTGAATTTTGGTTTATGTTTTGTTGTAGCTGAATCATGCTCTCACAACAGTACGACATGTTAACAAAACAGATGTTGTGACTCTTGGCTCGACATTTGGGGTACGTGTGAAATTGCAGTGTAAGGTTTAGATTTGGATTTGTCTTTTCAAGTCAGTTCCTAAGACGCTGACATTCTTGCAGTCTCTTTCTCATGTTATGGATGCATCTATGGAAGATCTTTCTCGTTGCCCTGGCATAGGAGAGCGCAAGGTATTTTTCCATGTGATCGTGTTCTCAGCTTCTTTTTTCTCTATTTCAATGTTTTCTTCTAGTCTTCCCTTTTGATGCTCTCTAGTGTGTGTTCGGTGTAGATTCTTTACGGTTTTGTTTCGATTACTTTTTCATTTGGGGCAGTGAGAAGGCTATTTTGTTGCTGGTTGTCATCTCAAATTATATTAAGGAAGCTCCTGTGTCTAACCATAGGCATCACTAATCCTTAAAGCTACTAATATGTTTAGGCAATTGTCTTGTCTTGCTGCATCTTTGGTCGCGTTGTAACTACAGAAATGTTTTATGGCTGGTGGCAATCTTAAAGAGGATTTGGAGAAGTGAAAAGTCAATAACACCTATGCCTCAATCCCAAGCTAGTTGTGGTCGGCTAAATGAATCCTCACTTTCTATTTCATCCATTTGATCCACTTTGTTTCCGGTTTTCAATAAATTATCTCTTTACACTAGAAGTTCTTATATTTCTACTGACATACAAATCTCTAACAAGAGGAACATAAAGTCAATGAGCTAGTTATTAAGATTCCTTCAGTGCTTCAGTTTATCGCAAATGGCTTGTTCAGTTTGATTTACTCATTGGGTTCATAATGGATCAGGTAAAACGCCTGTACGACACTTTTCATGAACCTTTCAAGCGAGAAGTGCCAAATCGGCAATGTGTTCCGGAAACTTCAGTTGCTAATGAATCTCAGCCTGGCTCCAGCAGCACAAGGGAAGATGAGAAGGAGGTTGGGGATACAAGCAATTGCGAGAAGAAGGAATCCGAATTAACTGTCAAGTCAGCACTTTCTGCTGCTTTTGCTAAGTACTCACACAAAGTTGCCAGAAAGAAGAATAAATCACAAGTAGAGGAAGAAGGGAAATGCAGTGCTAATGAAGAAGCAAGCTAAAACTGGAGATACGAATGGCAGCAACAACACCTGAATCTTGTAATCTCTTGGACTATTTCTTTATGCAACTTCTGAAGAAGAATAGGTTTCTTAGTCACCTAATTTCACGCGAATGTTGAGAGTGCAAAGAGCACATCATTGCAGTTCGAAGAAGATGAACAGGCTCATCTAATGGAATGCCATTGTCGCCAGCTCCTTTCGTTCAAAGGATAATACGATGAAGAGGCTCTCCAATTGCCGTGTAGTTGTAACCCAAAACTTTAGGTAGGTAGCTCCAAACAAATTTTTATCGCCCCCCCCC